ATATATATATATATATATATATATATACATAACACCCTTGAGCGCTTAGAATGGAGATCAACGTGTTTTAGTAGACTCGGCAGTTTTCAATCTGCTTGTCTAAATCATCTTCAAACAGCGAGAGCAAGCTTTAAAAGGTCAGCCAATCTACCAGTGATCTCATCTCACAATCCTTACACTTGCTACATATGCGGCCTCCTTTGTAAATCACTAGCGGGTCTTAAATGCCACTTAAGATTATCGCACCAAATTTCATTACTGAATGATTTAAGCTGTCAGATCCTCATACGTCGAAACCGAATGGAGAGTCCATCATTATTATTATTATTGTTATTTTTATTATTATTTTATAAAGACACAGAGTCACGCTTGTAAATAGTTATAAGAAAAGAATGAATAATTTTGAAGTTAGACATTTTTTTCTTGAAAACGAACCTGTTCTATGATTGTTGCAACTTTCTATATATTGTAGTTGACAGGAGAGAATGGAGGTGAAAAATGGTGAGAGAAGAAACCAGTAGAACAGACATACCTATTATATGTACCAATTTCAACTTTACAAAGATGAGACCTATCCGCCACTCTAGCACTTCGCTTAGATTCACGAAGTAGGGATACTAAAGAAATATTCGCCAGAACAATTGACATTAAAATATTTGTAGCGTAGGGACAGTGAGTCTACTTTACGGCGAATGAAACAATGAATGGGGTGAGATGCCCGGTAAAGACCAATAACATTGCCGACTCTTCTTTGAATTTGGTTTGAACTCTCGAGGGTGTAATAGTTTTTCGGTCTTATGATCTGCATTTCAGCGTAAGCGACGGCGATATGAACTTGCATACAGAACTCGATGGCTTTTGAATCACGACGGACGCTTCGGAAAACATTAAATTTTCTATGCAACAGAACATCACCTGTGAAGCTTCTGGTTGTCGGATATAACCAAGTCTATATTTTACTGCCCAGTTTTCTTCTTTAGATTCTCAGAGAAAATACCACCACGGAAACGTAGTTGCCACATACGCTGCTCAATCCCTGGATCGTGAGAGGCTCGACGTCTTCTTGTAAGAGTCTCTTATTTTAGATATAACAGACGTACATCTACAGCAATCAAGTTTGTCGGCGGTTATTCGTAATTTGCAAAAGACGATTCATAATCAACAGAATCAACACAGAAGGTCTACGCTTTTTAATCAAAGTTGATTAAACGAACAATTGCCGTTCAATTATACAAGATAAGACGAGAGCTATAGCGTGAAAAAAATAAACTTCTATATAAAGGTAGAAGTTGGATCATTTCTGGGAGTCACGGAGACATAAATAGAGAAAGGCACTTATCATTAGAATCGTTCGGAAATTGAACATCTGTCTAGATTAAGCAAGAAATATTAACAAAATCATGCAGAAATTTTGTTAAACCAATTACAAGAACGATATCTACGGCATTGATAAGATCGAAGAAATCAGCCTCGACGAATTCTATAGAAATCTTAGCATATGTTATCCAAATAAAATATCAAACAGTGATTTGAAAAATGTCAAGAAGTACGATGAACACAAAACCTTAAAATATCTCCGTGGAAACCATTGGACCATAATCTATAACAAGAATACAATACCGCTGTAAATACGAAATATATTTAAGATATTTTGAGACATTTTTAGAAGAAGCATATATAACTGTTATAGATTATAATAATTTTAGTATATACTAGCAGTAGAGCCTGGCGTTGCTCGGGGATGTAACAGTAAGAGATAGATCAAGTATCGACCATCATAAAGACTGAAAAATAAAATTGACAAAGATTATTGTTTAAGGTTGACGGACACGCATGTCTTAATTAGTTTTTTTTTTTACGAATTGGTCAAACCCAAACTCAAACAAAAATATTGTTTTCAATCGTTATGAGTCTATCTATTGAATAGAATTTTATTATAAACAATTGTCTTGTAAATGAAATTTTTAAAGCATTCTGAATGTAAAAATAAAGAAAAAAAAGTGTCCAAGACAATAAGAAACAATACCTGCCAAAAAAAGTGAAGTTTTGTTGAAATCGGTTGAAAAATGTAGGAAATCCGATCCCATATATAAACGAACACACACACACACACTCACAAACAACCTGGGTTTTATAATAAGTATAACTCGATATGAGTTGTCCGCCTTTCATTCTCGACAGCGATGCCTCTTAATCGTGTTTTCAAATTGATTTCGTGCCAAAACAATTGTGTTTTTCCAATTTTTGGCGCTGTCAGAATCACCGCAAGGTAATTTTACGTAGTTCTGTGATGTTTTGGTGAAAACGGTTGAAAAATGTAGGAAATCCGATCCAATATATAAACCAACAGACACACACACACACACACAACCTGGGTTTTATAATAAGTATGATTTTCTATACGTCATATAAGCTGACCTGCTAACGCATTTTTTCAAGATTGAAAGAAACTGCTGTAACAACTCTTTCAGCACATCTTATTAACACTCTCAGATAACAT